CTCAGAACGGAACCTTGAGGAACATCAGAAATGAAATGATTCAACTCAGAGAAGACGCCATCAACACTGACTGTCATCCGCATGTCAGCAAGATAATCGCAGTTCCACTCCAAAATGATACCCTGAACCCAAGTTATACAGTGTGCATATTGCGAAACCGAAGTCAATAGTATCAAAAGCGCGGGATAAGCTGAAGAAAATACCCATTACATACTTTTCCTCATCCAGATTTGTGAAAACAAATTCAACCATAGTACAGACAGCGGACTGTGTAGATTAACACAAACGAAAGCCATGCTGCCTTTCAGAGAGAATATTGCACTTTGACAAAAAGTCGCAAAACCTGTTATATACAATCTTTTCGAAGATCTTTAAAAAGACATTCAAAAAGTTGGCCTGTGCTGACGGATTACTCTTTTGGAGAATGGGCACAATCATTGCTGTTTTCAATGAAGTTGGAAGCTTCCCAGCACTAATGAAGAGATTAATCAAACATGCGAAAAGTTCAGCGATGCTAGCGATTCAGGCTTAATCAGCTTAATCAACATGCCGTCAAGACTCGCACTAGGCTTATTCTTCAAGGTAGCCACCATAGAAATGACTTCACATGAAGTAACAGTGGGGACGAAAAACTATTTCGACTATTCATCCTGGAAACGTTACAAGAAATAGATCTTGTGATCACAAGGTGATCCTGAAGTGGTTCCTCTGTCATGTTGGCAAAATATACACGAAAAATATTTGCTGTATTCTTGGGAGCAGTGTGCACTCTATCTTCTAAAATAAGTTTCCTTGGGCGATGAATAGAACACCTACAAATATCGAGATTATTAATATTCTAAATAGTTTTAATTCTATTGCTAGAATTGCGGATCAAGGTTACATTATAATACTTTTCAGCACCAGCAAGCATATCCTTATAATTTATTTTAGCCAACCGATAAGTATGTCTAGATTCAACCGTGTTCAAACATTCACACAACCAATATACGTTTTTTAGGTCCTGGCTGGCTTTTCTTATATCAGGTGAAATCTATTCTAGTGGTCTGTAATTCCTGGAATCATATGAATATAAGATAGGACAATAGTTGTCAAAACTATGAAAAATTAAATTGAAAAAGCATGGAAAACAATATCACCATCTTTATCAACGTCTAAAATCGGTCTTTTTCACTAATACAGAAAAATAACTTATATTATCAATGCGACTAGTCTCGGTACATTCTAACATAATTCGATTTATTATATTCACTATAATGTTCACAAGTCATTGTAAAAACACTATGGTCACTAAAATCTTCCTCATTGACCTTTGTTCTAACATACCGAGCCTCAAAATCAATCAAAATATGGTCAACCTTTGTTGACATTATTATAATGTTTTTATTGTGACAACTCTAGTTTGTTCCAAGGAATTCACAACTAAGTTGTATCCCATCAATAGGTTTACAAGCAGCTTTTTCAGCATACTGTCAACAAGTTTGTCTATATTCGAAATACTGCAAAGAAAAGATAGTCATATTCACGTACATGATTCAAAAGTAGATCCCATCTCAACATAAAAATTCTAAAATTCGCATCTTCTGGTGATAGATATATACTCAAACACAAGCAGGCAATTGCCCACCATCGAAGGGCAACTTCAAGCAGAACATTCAAGGAAACCATTGAATGGCAACACAGCACAACATTCAAATGATATCTCTTCCGAAAATCCAGAAACGTCAACACTCGACACCGAAAGATCGCTAAGAACGAACAACGCACATCCCCCATGTCTACGATTTATACGACAAAAGTGGCTGACCTTCTCATATCCGGGAGTCGACATAAAAGCAATGTCAGCAGCAGTACACCAATGTTCTACTAAGTCTGATAATTTCTGATGCCTCCTCCACAAGTTACACCTCAAGTTTATTCAATTTATTTGGAAGACTCTACGCATTTAGGTGTAGAATATTCAAGTCTAATTTGTCATTCTGGTCCATCTTCGTCTTGACTTTTTTATAAGACACAGTTTAAAACGAACGTTTTAAAACACAGTTTGAACACGGTTCGGCTAGGTGGAGGTCGTATCATAGTTCGCTCTTCGAAATTCGTCAATATTAGAAGGATAAATCAAAAGTTTTTTCAGAAAAATTTAGTACCATAACAGAGATACTTTAATAGAGAATACGCAAGTGATCAAAACTGACGCAATACTAAAAAACTATCGGAACTAACGCAAATTTCAGATGATTTATTGAGTGAACCTTAAAGAATAGTGCTCGAATAATCGTTTTCAGGTGTTTGTCGTACAATAATTACGGTTTCTTCAACATCTGGAGAAAGCCTGCTGAAAAGCACGGCCGATCAGCCGCTTCGATTCTACGAATCCTTGTCAGCGACTTACAGTAATTCTTTGAAAAAGAGTTGATAAATGTTTCGTAATGCCGGCCAAGTAATCACTGAGTTCGTCTGAGATAAATTAGCTGTCAAGGCAAGTGTCGGAGTTTCTTCCGTCCGAAATGTGGCGGATTGCCGGCCACATGTGCAGATGTCTTTGATGATTCAGGATTTGGTTGGACTTGTAAACATTGCCGGTCTATTCCGAGTAATAATATAACTGCTCTCAAAATGGATGAACTCATTACAAAAATGGATATGTTGCTGAAGGATATGACATTGGTTAAGGCTAGATAGTCTGAGGTCATTGAGTCTGTGAAATTCTAAGGTGATAAAATAAATTTCGTGAACAAATGGAAAAGGTGAGGTGTTACATGAAAACTGTAGACGGACTGGAGCATGAGTTGATGGTAGTGAAAAAGGAATGTAGTTCATTGAAATCCGCAGTAGAATTGATGACACAAATGAATTAATGGAGTAATATCGAGATATGTGGTGTCCAGAAACCAAAACATGAGTATATGATGGAGGTGCTTAAGAAGAGTGAGGTGCTTATGAAGTTGAGATTCAGACTATTTTTTTTCACCAGATGAAAGCAACTCCCAAAAATATTATTGCGAAGTTTGTAAATTCCTCTGTGAGGAGTGCTTTTTCTAACGGCATTCCGGAGAATTTATGGACGAAACCTAACCACTGAGATCATCAACCCAAGTGCTGAAGCCTGTGCAATATATGTAAACGAACATCTTTCTCCTTATTTCAAAATACTTCACAAGAAAAGTATAGACTGTTGTAAAAGATTGAACTTCAAATATTGTTAAATAAAGGATGGTAAAATCCGGGCTGTGTACGTCTGTTATGAGACAATCCTGTCAAGTCTAGATTAGAAAACATCCAATTAGTCGTTCAAAATTTGTGTACGTACAAGTATTCAAGTATACAGAATTGAGACAATACTACCAAAATGTTCGGTGTTTTTGAACTAAGACATGCGAATTTTATCCTTGGACTATGACGACATTTGCATAGCTGAGTCATGGTTGAAAAGTGAAGCTTTTCCCAGCTTCTTACAAAGTATACAGGAGGGATCATGTCAAAGTTGAGTAGAAAAGTGATGGTGGTGGAATTGTGATGACTGTAAAGTATAATTTGACATCGGAATTTATTCCGGGTTGGTCAACAAACTCTGTTATTGAGGATCTATGGATCTCGGTGGATCTCAGTGGTGGTAAAAAATTAAAAATTTGTTTTGTGTATATTCCTCCCATACTGTTTTGAACAATTTTATATATATCTCGAATATTTGGAAAATATTGGAGCAAAAAATAATAACGATGAAATTGTAATACTTGGTGATTTCAACTTGCCAAGGCTTAGTTGGGAATGGGGGAGAATTTTCAATCATTTTATCCGCCGCGTTGATACTCTTAGTGAATTTTTCGTTGATAATTTTCATTGATTAATTTAATGGAGCACTCAAACATCTCAAATTCAAAGGGTAAATTACTCGATCTTGTCATGACGGTGTCAACGGGAACTCAATCTGAAGTGAGCGTGGGAGGTTGGTTAAACCCATTTGTCGGTGAGGATACTCATTACTTGAAATAGATCTGAGCTTGATGTCTCTTAGACGGCTCAACAATAATTCTTACATAAAACTCAAATTCTCTGATGCTAACTGCAAATTCATCAATAATAAGTTGAATAAGGTTGATTGGTTACAATCATTTTCAATTGCGATGTTGACGACTCCATTAAAAAATTGTACAATATTCTTAAAGATGTAATAGTTGATAGCGTGCCGAGTAGGGAAATATAAAAATCGCGTTTTTCTATTTGGTTTTCACCGAACACTATCAGAATTATGAGGTAAAAAGAGACATTTCATAGAATGGGAAGAAATATAAGAATATTATGGATTATAATAACTTTTCTTTTACTTCAAACATTTCTGAAGAAAAGACTAGAGAAGATTGAAGGAATTATATACAATCAACCGAAAATAATATGAAAAATAATCTTTTCTTAATGCATTTCTGGTCTTTTCTATCATCAATAAAAAATCTAGCATTTGCCAGCTGAAATGCATCTTTTCTATCTAATAAAAAATCTAGCAAATCAATGACAGGTGAAATGCATCTAGAAGATAAAGTTGCTACTAACAATCAATCAATTTCAGTTTTTGACTAATTATTTAGAAGAACATTTAGCAGACCTGGCTATGTGAAACATGAACAATGTAATGTCTCCTTTATTTTTTAGAGATTAATGTAAGAGAATATTGAAATCGGTGGTTGCAATTGTTGAAAGCGTAATACAGTTAACTGTTTCGTACTACAAGGTACTCTTCAGTCACGCCACGTCCATCCAACGGAAGACAACGGCTTCTATCCTCAAATATCCTCTTATCGATCATGAGACCTAAACATACTGTTAAGTCATATGTATATATGATGCACAGATCATTGTACATCTCAAACCTTGGGATCACATAAAGCACATGAATACATCTAATATTGAAAAATTCACTCGTCCTTATCAATTCAGATACTACATTTCACAACTCTAGTTTTTGTCAATTTCATCCAATTTGATGAACTAATAGCATTGAGGTTGCCGGTCTCACGTAGCTTAGTCGGTAGAACACCCGACTATGGTGCAGTAGAACTCGGGTTCGAGCCCCGTTGAAGGCATGGGTGTTTGTGTTTGTCTATGATTTAAGTAGTTCAATTAATGATATATGCCGGTTAATGTACATCGATTACAAGCCCAAATGGCCGTTCGGAACCGGCGTCAAACTGTAGCGTTGAGGTTGCGGTTGTAGAAACGATCACTGATCATTTATGACTGTTTCCTGAAGTGGCTACTCAAAACATCGAAGGAACCGATTACAAGAGGAAAAATTATGTAGTTATCATGTTGATATCAACGCACTTGTAAATATTCAATCTTGAAAGTATACTATAACTTTCTTTCGATATGTTTTTGACAAATTATTGAAAAGAACATCACAGTATAGCTAGCTATGTAAAACATACATAGTACAAGAGAATATTGAAATCGGTGCCTACATTGATTGAAAACGTAAGGCAGAGGTGCCTTTCAGTTACGCCACGTCCGACAAACGAGAAGCAACGACTTCAATTCTGAAATATCATCTTATAGATTATATAATTTGTCGAAAAATTGTCGAAAAAAAAACATTGTGTTCCACCAGATGTTGTAGAGGTATCGATGGGCTTTATATTATTAATTTTAATAATATAACTAATTGAATAATATTATTAATGTTATTGTTCGAAGAGTATAGATCAGAGACATAAATAGCTTCTATAACTTCGACCTACAATTTGATTCGATTCCGAACGACTGCTCAATATCACGGAAAGAATCGAACCCGCCAGCATCAGTAAACAGAGAACTTCACAGGTTCACTACACGTTTAGGCTACTGAGCCTGTGATGAAGAAATTTTTATGTTTAAGAGAATACCTTATCGTTACACTTGGCTTACGTTCACTCCACTGAAAATTCATTATTATCAGTCATTATTATTATTGCTCAAAGAGCGCAGGTCGAAGCTCCGATTGAAAATACAGTTTAACGCCTATTCCGAACGATAATAATCACAAGATCGCGGTTGGATTCGAACCCACAATTACTTGTAAGCCGAAAGCGTATAGGCTTCTATACTATTCTGTTACTGAGCCTCTGAATTATTTAGGATTATTCTATGAGTAAATTTTTCAGGGAAAACAAGTTTCTGAAGTAATTTCAAATAGCGATATCTTACTAGTACTTCCTGATTAATATCTTTCATCATCACTTTATTCATTGGCATATAATTATATTCTCCAGAATGTGTTATGTACTGCGCAGTAATCAAACAAATGCAAATCCTTCTCCAACTCAATATCGAGTTAGGCGAGAGAAGAGGGAGAAATTTATGGAACTCACTTCAACGAGGACACATATACAAAGGATAATTCGATTTGTTGGATTAATTGGATCGCTATGCCGTTCTGAGGAGAGCCAATCAGCTCGAAACACGTGTCAACGGCTGTTTTCATTCATATATATATATATATATATATATATATATATATATATATATATATATATATATATATATATATATATATATATACACATTTTTATAAAACATTGTTTCTTCCACAAAAAATTATATTCTTGTTCGAAAATGTTTCAATTTATTCAGTTGTAATTTTATATTTGATTTTTTCGATTTTAATGTTCAATGTATGTACACTTTCTTCAGAAGTATTCCTAATTGAGTCATAGAATGTTTGTCATCCATTGTCATCATGTTATCAATAGTAGTAATAATAATTATGAAAATGATGATGACAAACCTGTTCATGTGTAGCTATAGGAAAACTTCAAAAGTCGACCATATGAATTTTTTTCTGTCACATTTTCTTCTTTAAAATGAAGTTAAAAGATTACTCTGTTCAGAAAAATTTCAAGCAAGCGGAACAGGATTTTTATATCTCAAACCTGTGGCAATGAATTCAATGGAAACCACAGCAATATTGATTAGATATACTTCAACATATAGACATATCAACAGGTGAACGTAATGGTGCAATAATTTCAGTGAATTGCATTAAATAACACTATGCGCTGACAGATATGCTATAGAAAGATACAATTACTATGTATTTGACCAATTTTTGTCAGAGAACTCACCAGATGTGCGAACATCAGAGCGTTTCGCTAGCTGTCTGGAAACGCTTGTATCTCCAAGAATCAGACGACTATATATATACTGCTCATTATATCAAAGAAATTGCTGGCGATGAGTTGACAATGACTGATGAGTTAGCCAATCGCTTCTTCGGAAAATTATTGTAATACTCGTAATAATGATTCATTTTTGAGTTTCTGGAAAATTCAACCGAATGTTTTGTATATTACAAAATATTCGAAAATACTTTTTTTTCTCGGGTCGAAATATTTGAGAGTGAAAACAAGTCAGTATCAACGCAAAGTATCTTGACATGCATCTAGATCAGTCCTTCAGTTGGAAACAACATATTCAAAGTAAGAAAAACTAAATGAAACTAGATATCCGACATATAAAACGTATTAGCTTATGCAAGAAATTCAATCTGAACTTTCAAAATAAATTTTATATGTAAAGCAATTATTCAACCGATATAGACATACGGCATTCAATTCTGGGGTTACGCTAAAGCGTCAAACATTAAAATCATTCAAGGATTACAATTAAAAATATTACGGTCATTAGTTAAAGCATCTTGTTACGTCTCAACCTCACTATTCATGACGATTCAGAAGTCACATATGTCACCCATAAGAAACAAACCTTCAAAATATAAATAAAACCTTCAGAAAAATAAAAATACCACCAGAAACTAGGAAGACACAGGAACCAATTAATAGATCAACTCACTGAAAATTCAATCAACCTACGAAGACTAAATGTAGCCAGAGGACTTAATTTAAGGTTCTGATAATGGTGTTTAAATTATTGAATAATAATCATTTAATAATATTCAATTTAAATTTTAATACTTTCTTACAGACCAAACATACATCACCATTACCTAATACTTATATAAAGTAAACTGTAAATCTCAATAAATAATAATTTAATAATAAATGCTAATTTTTCTGAGCACAATGTTTTCAATGTTTCAAAGGAAATATCATCGATGTCAATGAATTACGTGAATATTGTCTTCAAAAATAATTGCCCATCTTGCCTAGCTCAGTCTAAGCATTATTACTCAGGATACTTTCACAAATGGAAGAGCTCAACTTCTAAATAATAATTAATAGCAATAAATTCAAATTACTTAATGAAAGAAATTGTGCTCAGACTGCTCACAACACGTTCATTATACGGTGTATTCAATTTGTCAGAGTAATTTTCAACGTATCATGAATCTCAATGATGTTTAATGTAATCATTCGTTCTAATTCCTGAAAAACAATTTTAAGTAATTTTCCTTGAATCTTTCTGTTTCTAGTATATTCGAGGACGTGTTGGAATGAATAATCTTGTTAAACTCTGATATAGGGGAATGTGGATTTCATTTATACCTGTTACGAACATCGTCAATTTACATCACGCTTCACGAAACGAGAAGTTCAAAAGAAAAGTTAGAGCTTTCCAAGTACAGTTCCAGTCTGCCCTAACGTAAATGTAGGATGACATTCACACTATGGTTGCTAACATATTGAATCGAATTTGAAGTTTTAGTTAGAGTGTAGAGCCAAATGTCTCTGAAGAAATATTTCCACATGAACTTTCGGGAAACAGTTCAACCTTCAGTGATGGCTTCTTTGAGAAAGGGATTTAATCTGGCTAAGAAGCAAAAATCTTGGACTAACCCGTAAAATCTGTCTCAAACGAAATCGCTCTCAGATTCATGAATACACTCAGAATATTTCAGCTTTACCTTACCTTGTGAGAGAAGAACGAAGACAATCCTCTTAGTTAGTAAAAGACAATAATGAAAGAGAATTCAAAATTTCCCCCGGTTTTCGGATGCTTGACGAAACCGTTTTCAAGCTACAGGATGTCATACCTGGAATATTATAACCGTTGAGAAGTATCACGATGTCATTCAGTTTTGGTATTGATTAGAAATCATCAACAATTTCTGATTGATAACTATAGAATGTTTCAAACAGTTAAATTCGGTTAACTGTGAACGATTTTTTTTAAAAATGTAGTTTTGAACTATTCTATAGGTATATAATAGATTTGCACAAAGTAAATGCCAATACCAGTCGGAATTTTTGTTTGGACAATATAGATGCTTTATCGCTGAGGTTTTTAGGTGGACCAAGTCTCTCTACATATTCTTAAAATATCAACGGTTATAATAATAGTAAAAGGGGTAAGTGATTATTTCTCGAAGTTTCAAGATTTCTCAAAAATTTTGCTTCTAATGCTTCTTTCATATGATGTATTCAACTAATGATACAATATTCAAAAATAATTGCCTCACTCGTGTTTTGAATATTGGGTACGCTATTCAAATGAGAGCGAACAAACCGAAACAGGTCAATAGCTGCTTTTGAATGCGAGTTATGTTAAAAATTATCTAATTCTATTTGGTATTTTCTCCAACAATAATTCCTATATCTATTTTTTTTCACCATAGCCTGTAAGTACGTTAGAATCGAGTAAAAACACGTATTATTGTGAAATTTCGTGTATTCAAACACACACACACACAGAATATATATATATATATATATATATATATATATATATATATATATATATATATATATATATATATAGATCGTTATTATTTCAACCGTACAATTTATGAAAATTAAATGTTTGGATATCAGGATAGCGGTTTGTGTGAAATACTTTATTTTCCTATACACTCAATATTTCGTCACTATTTCGTGACTTCTTCAGGAGTATACTAAAAACAAATGAAGGTACATGAGACATCACAATTTGTAAAAATAAAATCATTAAAACTTACGGACCACCGCTAATGACATATTGCTCGTGTCAGTCACTGCTCTCTGGCCTGCCGACAAAGTATGAACCGTGTATGTGTTTTTTGATATTTGAACTTTTAGATCTGTAAGTTTTAATGATTTTATTTTTACAAATTGTGATGTCTCATGTACCTTCATTTGTTTTTAGTATACTCCTGAAGAAGTCACGAAATAGT